ATATATGCAATGAATTCATTGCGTGGTGTGTGTGCTTTACATATCAAGGGAGTCTTCCTCCTTCAGAAAGACATTTCGATCAGCTGTGATGTTATATTGCGTTTCCCAAAGGATGAGTAATTACATAAAATAGCCAATTCAGACAATAGAAATGCATCCCTGTTCATTAGCAAATCTATTACAAATTATGGCGATAATTACATTTATTTTGTTTTACAATGGACTGCAGCTGCCTTGTGCACTGAGGTTAAGGTGATACAGTCAAAATGTAAAATTTGTAATTGGAGATTTTGAATAGAGTGAACCTAACCTACTTGTACACTGTTCGACATTAAAGTGATTCAGACAGAATGGAGTACTGACATAAAATAACTGATTTCTTTGAAAGCTCAAAAAATGTTACATAACATTCGTAAATTGAGATTTGGAATAGTCTATGTAAGCTTTTTTTTAAGTAAAACAATTTAATGAACCTCAGTTTTCAGACAAATACATATATACCGGTACTGTATTTTTGCTCTACTATATGCCTATCTACTTACCAAAATGACAGATGTGTGTCTACAGTTAAAATAATTCACATTTTAAATGACGAGTCAAAGTACCATGAAAAAATAAGTTTTTTTATTTTATTGTAGGAGTGTCTGATATTTGCGAATGATATATTTGTCAAAGCTATAAAGGTGAGTTGAACAAGATCAATGTTAAATGTTCATTGCTGGAAATATTAGTGATTTGAGGATTTTCAGGACATTAGTGTGGATGAAATTTTGTAAATTGATGTCACTATGATGTTCTCTATAAATGACCCCCTGTGATATGCTTACTGTTATAAATGTTCAAAATTTTCTGATAGTTGTGAAATTCCTGGGAATTTGTCTGCTATTTTTCTAATATATGGACAGTTGTCAGTTAAAGTTCAGCGGCAGATGTTACATAAAACATTGATTTGAAATCATAATCTGAATCTTTGGAGAAATCAATTACATCGCAGTTCTATTAAATTTAATGGAATTGCAGCTGAGCAGATGCTCTTTCTGTTACACCACAACACACTGTCCCAAGAAAGACAACTTGAACTAGTATGTAGTAAGTGCTCCCTTACAATGAATAGATTGACACGTACAATCTAAATGTTTGACATAATCAATGTCAGAACAATCTACTCAATTGCAATCTGTCCACCTGAGTGGAGGTAATCAAAAATACAGGAACATATACAAACATAGTAAAATGAAACACAAAATACAAACTTGTAAAACACAGGGGAAGTGTATAATCACAATTTAAGTCAATTCAAATCAATAAAATTACAATCCTATATAGGGATACAGTTCTATAATTATCATTTATAGAACTAAGTAAAATTGCAAATTTATATGGTAAGGCATTTCATTTAGAATATTAGTAACTAAATTAAAATAAATGGTAATTGTATATAAAAATGCAAATTTTAAAAATCAATGAAATTAAAATCATATGTAGAAAGACAATTTAGTTAAATGGGATAACAATTTAGTTAAAGGGAAGTGGTCGTCCAGCCACACTTGCTCAAGATATGGGTCTCATATATGAAAAGGCAATTTTTAATTTAACGTGTCTAGATAGGTATATTGTACATCAAAATAAATGCATATTTCTTTAAATTGACTTATAATTTCCCAGTCATGCCATTCTGGTTTCTGGTTATATGTTTTATACACAACCCTACATAATGTGTAAATGATTTCATTGGTATACTATGATACCGCATTAGTCAAATGAACATACACATATTCACTGAGGCGATCTATGTAAATTTGATCACCAATGGTTAAGACTAAAAGATAAAATTTACCTAATTTAAAAAAAACATGTCAACACCCCTCCCATTGTTAGTATGTACATGCAGCTCAAAAAATAAATCTTATAACCACTTATTCTAAGTGACTATACAAAATGTGAACTTATAATGTTGTCTTTGTCTGTCTATCTATCTGTCCATCAGTCCATACAGAGTCATATTTCAGTACCTTGTGGTTCTGGGACATATACCGATTCAATCCAAGATGGCTGACTGGCAGCCATTTTGTTTTTTGAAAATGTGGTACATGTATCTTATGCATGCTTTGTCAGTTATTGTTCAAATTGGTACATACATTGTACATTTTAGATTACATGTCCATGACAATTTGTTTTACAAGCAGATCAAAGATGGCTGACTGGTGGCCATTTTGCTACTACAAAAACTTCAAGGCTTAGGGATAATTTTTGTTCATATTTGACATATACATCATACATATTGGAATACATGAACATGACAGTTTGATTCATAATCAGATCAAAGATTGCCAACTGCCATCCATCTTGTTGTTTTTGAAATATTGTATCTTGGACAGGATTTTTTGGTTTTCATTCAATTTGATACAAATATTATACATTTGGAGATGCATGTCCATGATGATTTGTTTCGTGTTCAAATAATTTTTTTTTTCTTTGTTGTGTTTTATTCAATGTGAGTTATTGTTTATTTGCACATAAAGGTTAAAGTTCAGCTTCCAGATCAGTGTCTTTTATTCGATCAAGAAGCTACAAAACTGAGATGGTTCATGCTGCCAAGTGAAGCCTTAGCTATTCTCAAGATTAAAGATTCATGTTTTGATGAGAAACATGTTCCGTTTCATCCTCCTTCACAGCAGCAGCAACAGACGCAGAGTCCTGAAACAGACATGAACATTCATGATCAGGATGAATTCAGCAGAAGGAGAAATTGTGATATAGTTTATGCAAACACAGACATATTTGCTGCATCAGTTGAGGATGGTTTTACAGCGTTTGGTGATAGGCATAAACCTGGAGATGTGAAAGGACGCATAACTTCCCAGGGTCTGACAAACATCAGGGATAACCAAATTGATTCTCAAGCTAGCATCTCTAACATTCTAGATCATCTTCCAGTCCCAGCAAATCTTATTTCAGCAGACACTGAAACAGATGGCTTGACCACATCTTCTTCTAGTTCATATGAGCCACAGTTATCTGAGAGAGCCAATAGAATAGACAATAAGCATGATGAAGTTGTAAATGATGGTAAAACTGGAAATACCCAATCAATGATCAATGCAGATATAAGTACTTTACAGGAAGAAGAAATTGCTTTAAGTTTACCTTCCAGTGAATTAATTACATGTACATTGCCAGATAAAACGACTGTTGTGAAACAGGAACAAAAAATGTCAGTGGCTATTCAGCATCCATGCAAGACAGAGACAAAAAAGGCAGAAGGTAAAAAATCCAAGATTGATCCATCCAAGCCAAGATTCCATGCACCACCAAAGAATTTATTTAAACCTGCTGTACAGGTAAGATGATAGAAAATAGTGTATAATTTTGGAAATTCATTTGATCTTCAGAAAAAGTCATTTATAATATCATTTATGTGGTCCTATGTTATCAACTCGTACTCATTGGTACATGGAGTTATTTTGTGTAGAAAAAATCTCCAGCCAAATGCTAAAATGTTTTTAGAAGAATTTAACATAAATTTTATTTTCAGCATCGAATTGAAATTATTCTCAGTATTTCTGCATATATTGTTAGGTACACCAACAAAAATTACACTATCAGCCCAATAACAACTTTTTTTCTGAAATTAGTTTTACCACTATTAAATACTTACAGATACATGTACATGTAACTAATATAGATATCATGTTCTCAAGAATGAGTACTGTGGTGATACACAAAATGTATCCATTCTATCCGTGTTAGCAATTTATACCACCTTTTGTCTGTTTAATAGATTATAAATTTCACATAAGTTGTAAACCAGCTTTCAAAATTGACTAGATTTTGAACAGGCTACCAAATAAGTTTGTTGGATTCAAACAGATACCTTGAACAGATATCAGGTGTTAGCTATATTTTATGTGGTTGGTTCACCACTTTAAGTTGCGAGTGGGGACCCAAGCAAAAAAAAGCAACTTGTCAAGGGTCGCCACTTATCAAGGATAGGCAGAGAGCCTTTTGCCTAGACAGTTGGAAACTAAAGATCAGAACAAGCCACAAACACTTTTTGTAATTCACAGAGCAATGTTAAATGACACTGGAACCATCACACTGACTCTTTATTGGCCAATCATATACATGATACAACAAATCATTAGCTATACTTTGAGAGGCATTCAATTACTCGTAACTTACTGACGTGTGAATACTGAACATCCTTAATTAACAGTTGTGATGAAACTCTAAAAATAATAATTCTCATACAATGCAGTTATTTATTTTGTGAGTGAGACCCCATATTTTTAATCAAATTGACTAGACTTGTTAAAATAGTCCTTTACACACAGAATGTATGCAAAACTTCATATTATTGCAATTCCTCATTTAACCCAAAACAGTTAACATGTTAATAAATAAACTTAGGACAACGATTACCATATATTATCCACAGTTAACATGGTAGGTTATATTATACTCTAGGCACTAGAAGAATACAACATGATAGAAAATGGAGATAAAGTACTGGTGTGTCTGTCGGGAGGGAAAGATAGTTTATCACTACTACATACGCTGCGTCAATATCAATTTTATGCTAGCAAGAAGGTAAATATATAAATTTATTAGCTCCGCTGTCGACAAAGTCGACTCAGCGAAGCTGTTCATATTACTGATTGTCCGTCGTCATCGTCCGCTGTCAGCATCAACTGTCAGCTGTGTTCATATCTTGTCAAAATCTCAATTTCTCTATTTTTGGTCAATATTTTACGTAAAAAGTGATATTTTTGACGTCTTGTAAAAAACCACAAGTACTTTAGTATTACATATATAGGTACTATATGTGGACCTCCCTCAGATTTGTTCATTTCGTAATGATATCTTCAATTCTCTAATTTTTGGTAAAAAGTGATATTTTCGACTTCTTGTTAAAAACAGCAAGTTCGATTGCTTTGAATACTTTACATATTGTTCATTTTCTAATGATATCTTCAGTTCTTAATTGAAATGTGCATTGCTAACAGCGGAGCTAGCTCAGCCAACAGGCTGCTTGTTTATTTACTAGGGTAAAATGCAATGCTTTATTTGGGACATACATGTTTGCATAAAGTAAAGTGAAGCAAGTTTACTAAAATAATTCTAAAATATTAAAAACACACTGTGCTAAATTCTTAGGAATGAAAAGATCAAGACTAAACACATAGTATATATAAACAAATGAAATCAAGAAATAAAAAAAAATATAGTTTGTCATTGCTATTGAATACTACTAATTCTATTCTGAGATGAAAAAGAACACTGGCCAGCCACACTGAACTCCAGAAAAGTTGTTTAACAAGTTTAATTGGCAATTTTGGCACCAATATGACAGTAAAGTAAGTTGTGTAACTCTCATACTCATGTCATTTATAACACATAGCAAACATTATATATAAATTATAAATTATATATAATAAATACACTTCTTTTTCTTAGGGTATAGATTACAGTTTAGGAGCTGTGACTGTTGATCCCCAGACTCCTTCCTTTGATCCTAGTCCACTGAAAGACTATCTCAAAGCCTTAAATGTGCCATACTTCTATGAAGAACAAGGTATTAATAGTGCAGCACAATATTGAACTGAATTTTATGCATTTTTTGTAATATAGGAACTTCCCATTTAGACATAATCAGTTATTACACTGCAAACTTACTAAATATAGTTTGTTTTTTATATTTATAATGTGTAACAAATATATGTTTTATATGTCCACATGCTCTCCAATGTCGACTTACATTTTTAGTCCCCGTTCGGATGTAGTCCGAAAACGGGGACTTATGTTTTGCCCTGTGTGCGTCCGTCCGTGCGTCCGTGATCACCTGTATCTCGAACATGCATGGACCGATTAAGTTCAAACTTCACTCATACATCACACATTATATGTGACATATGCACATGCATTTTTTTCATGATCCGATTAACGATAGCCGAATAGCGGCCATTTTAAGGCCGAAAATGCATCAAAATCACACATTTTCACCATTCCGGACCCGGATCTCA